GTCTTCAGAGTCTGTCATATCTTTTGGGATAGGGCCTAGGTCCACCCCCGTGTATCTAGGCTCAATGAGTATCCCTCTATTGTGGAATTGGCTCCCAAGTCCATTCCTATGCTAGGGATAAGTACTGATCCACTACAAGAGGCCCCATAGATTTCCGAGGACTCCTCACTGACACCCACATTCATAGGGTCTGGATCAGTCCCATGCTGGTTTCCCAGTGATCAGTCTGGGGACCAAGAGCTCTCCCTTGTTCAGGTCAGGTGTTTCAAAACGTGTACTCTTAACTGCTGAGCCAACTCTCCAGTTCTGAATAATGAAAATTGTTTCTACATAGAAGTTTCTCTGATAATGTCACCCTTTTTGCTATATACTCAGAAGAGAAGGCCAAACAAATCATTTGGCCTTTTCCAACAGACATCTGATAGTAATCTCTTCAAAGACATTGCTGTATGTATTTGTGTGTGAATATTTGTTGTGATTATAGCTGGTCAAGTGTGTAAAGGTCAGAGGTCAACCTCATGTCATTCTGAAGGAACTGTCCATCTTTTAAGACATGGTCTCTAACTAGTTTGTGGGCTCAATGAGTCGGCTTGACTGACTGACTAACCCAGTACACACCCAGGGATCCTCTGTGCCCAGTCTTTTACCAGGGTGCTAGGGATCAAACTCAGATCCTTATGGTTGCACAGCAAGCAGCTAACTGACTGAACCATCTCCCCATACACAAGAGCATCACTTTCTGTGGTTAAGACCTATTCTGCTTTTTGTTCAGTGAGTAATACAAGATGGAACAAAATTGATTACACTGAAAAACCCATAATCAATTAAGTGTTCAGCTTTATTGTTGGGACTTTTAAACAGGTGTCAGTTACCAATTTATCACTCATTCTAGCATAGTCTTGATCAACCTGAACCCCACCTTTCTTCAGTTGGCAGTCATCACGAAGGGTTACAACAATGGTGACCCAAGACCAGAAACAGCAGAGACTGTGGTTTCAGTGGCTGTCTAGAATACAAAGGGCACCATGCTCCAAAAAGAGGATAAATCATTTCCTGTCCATGTTAACTGATGGTGACAGAATCCCATGGGCCAGAACTGAGCAGCTTTGAGTCTCTCTCCTTAGTTTAGTAACAAACCAGATAATATTTGCAGGCAGCAGATTGAGATAAGGCATTTCTCAAACTGCCAAGAAATAAAATTAGAACAGCTGACTTTTAGCTGGTAGCTTGAAGTCCATCTGTGTCAGTTTGTATGTGACATGTGACGATGTAGTCATTTCTTCTTCCCATCAGCCATTGGGAGGGGTTAGGAGTGCACATGCACCTGTGTGCACACAGATGTACATCTGGCTTTAATATCAAAGAGGTTGCCCTCTTCTAGCCTCTGCAGGCAAAATACACGTAAAAATAAATATTTTTAACAGACACACACACAAGGAAAGAGAGAGAGACAGAGACAGAGAAACAGAGAGAGAGAGAGAGAGAGAGAGAGAGAGAGAGAGAGAGAGTGTTCAAATCCTAACTAGTCCAGCTCTGTGACCTTAGATAGGTTTCCTTCCCTCTCTAAGCTGTGGACATTCTTCTATTCACTGTGCCAGGCCATGGTGTAAATTGGATCACTGGGCAAAGGTTAAGGACTGCTGGTGCCCAGTACAGATTGGACATTCCGCTAGCACTCTCAGGCCGTTCCTCCCTGTCCTTTCCCCCGGTACTTTAACTAAACATTGTACACATTTGCTGTGGCAGCTTCCAAACTTTCTCCAGCTGCTCTCTGTTCCCTGGAGCTTCCCAGCTGCTACCTCTATTCCTTCCTTGGCCCTGAGCTCTGCAGCTTTCTGTAGAAGCAACACTCTTCTTTTGGGAACACCTCTGTTCAGCTTTGCATCTCCTGCCTCTCAGAGTTCTTTGCAGCCTCTTTAGCTCACCCACTGACTCTCCCTCACAGGAGAGTACTAATTTGTAAATGCATCTCTTGGCCTGAGTTGCCCATGATAAAGGTGGTCAACCACCCATGGCAAAGGGCTTGCCAACAGACCCTGTGTCTCCTCCCAACTGAGCCATGTAGCCAATATCCAGGATACTAAGACTTAATAGTAAAGTGATTGTAAAATATCAGAGAGAGAAGAGAATGCTCATTCTTGCATAGCTCAGCCTGACCTTGAACTTCTGAGATTCCCACCTTACCAAGTGCTGGAGTTACAAGTTATGTTCTACTACGTCCAATCTTCATTTATAATTTTGTTAAAAGTAGAGCTCAGGGCTAGAGAGATGACTCAGTGGTTAAAGGTACTTGCTGCTTCTGCTGAAGTTTCTGTAGACAGGTGGCTTACAACTACCTGTAACTCTAGTTCCAAGAGACCCAGCATACTCTTCTGATCTCTGTGGGCACCTGCATGCAGGTGCAAAGGTAAAGTATATGCAAAGATAAACACAAAATGATAAATGAATAAAATTAACATTTTTATAATTAGGGCTGTAGCACTTGGGAGACAGAGGTTCAAGGTTATCCTGGGCTATATAGTGAGTTTCTGGCCAGCCTAGGTTACGTGTCTTAACACCCAAGAAACACAAATCTTTCTCCCATTATCCTTTGTTTTTAATCTTCCTTTGCCCTTCACTGTTAGATTTTTGTCCTTTCTTTCTGGAATGGGTGGTGGGCTGAACAGAATAGTATTTTATTCCCTATTGCTACCATCTGCTTATAACAACAGGCGTACATCATCCACCACCACTGGAGAATGGGAACTCAGAACAGGATTTATGAGGTGGACATGGAGGTACCAGCAAAAGCTGCATTCCTTCCAGAGGCTTTGGGGAGGTCTCGTTCCAGCCTGCACCAGCTCTGCCAGGCTATGCTTGTCATCTGGCCAGGACCCCACATCTTCCTGTCCTCCCAATCTGGCTTCTGTGTCTGAGTTCCCTCCTGACTACCTCTAGGAAGGACTCCTGTGTTTCTCTTGGACACTCTAATGACATTAGTCCCACCGACGGTGGTCCAGGATTCTCTTACTGACTCATGATTGTTAACATAATCACAGCTGCAATGTCGCTTTACTGTATCAACTCCTGTATTCACAGGTCTCAAGCTATCTTTGGGAGCCATTGGTCTCCACAGGTAGCAGTGTGTGTGTGTTTAAAAAAAAAAAAAAAGCCGGTGAATGCATCTCATTGTTTTTTTGTCATTGAACTTAGTGTAGAAATACAGGGAATCATCCAGTGGAGGAGCTAAAACTATTTATTGATTTCTTCAAAGAAGTAAAGTTGACACATTATGAATGTAGCCCTTAGGAAACTATGGGTAAGGGAGGTGGCTTAGTGGATAAAGTGTCTTGCCATGTAAACATGAGGACCCAGGTTTGATCCTCAGCACCCTCATAAAAGCCAAGTATGTAGGGCCATGTGCTTGAATCCTGTGTTGGAAGACCTGGTCAGACAGCCTAGCTGAATCAGCTCCTGGCCTCCATGAGGACACATGCGCTCATTCACATGAACATGTACATTTCCCACACATACAACATGTACACGTTAGACATTACACTGCTGTGTTCCATTTTGTCTTAGGACAGGATCTTGCTTTGTGATTTTCTGTGGTGGTCATTTTCACAGAGCCTTCATAGGAATCCTAACCATGTTCTTCTTTTTTTCTTTCTTCCAATGGCTATTTCCTGATCTCCTCTGCACTCAGGATTTGCGCAAGCAGGTAGCACCACTGCTCAAGAGCTTCCAAGGGGAGGTAAGTAACCCTTTATGTTCACTTTATACTCAAGCCACCTTTTGTTTCTGTGTTAGTTACTTTTTTTGGGGGGTGGAGGGTTCGAGACAGGGTTTCCCTGTGGCTTTGGAGGCTGTCCTGGAACTCACTCTGTAGGTCAGACTGGCCTCAAACTCACAGAGATCTGCCTGCCTCTGCCTCTGCCTCTCTGCCTCTCTGCCTCTCTGCCTCCTCTGCCTCCTCTGCCTCTCTGCCTCTCTGCCTCTCTCTCTGCCTCTCTGCCTCTCTGCCTCTCGAGTGCTGGGATCAAAGCTGTGTACCACCACCACCTGGCTTAAAGATTTATTTTTATGTCTGTTGGCGTTTTGCCTGCATGTGTGTCTGTGTGAAGGTGTCAGGTCCCCTGGAACCGCAGTTACAGACAGCTATGAGCTGCCATGTGGGTGCTGGGAATTGAACCTGGGTCCTCTTAAACAGCAGCCAGTGCTCTTAATGCTGAGCCATGTCTCCAGCCTGTGCTACTTTTATTGCTGGAACAAAATACCTGAGAAAAGCAACTTAAGGAAGGAGTGTTGACTGTGGCGCACAGTCAGTCCATCGGGGTGGGAAGGGATGATGACAGTAGGGAAGGGCAGCTTGGTTACATCCTTATTCAGGGAGCAGACAAATGAACGCTGGTGCTCAGCTCACTTTCTTCTTTTTATTTGGGCCAGGTGAAAAGCTGTGGATGTGGGACTTAATGTCACGGATGGCTTGAAACCCCAGGGCATAGTTTCCTACTTCCTGAAACACCCTTCCACCCTCCACTTTCCCTGATGTCTCAAGGGACACCTCACTCCCTCCAACAGACAGACTGTTCAGATGAAAGTGGATCAGAAACACCTTTAGAAGAAGCCAATAATAATTGTTGTCTTTGATTGAAAAGTTTGAAATTTTATAATCATAACGATTACATGTAATTATTATGGCAAAGTCATCAAATTTAACTCATGTTGAAATTAGATTGATTGATTGCTGTACTTAATTTTCTGTTTCACAAGCCCAGACAATTAATTGGGAGCAGGAGTTAACCTCATCGTTCAATCTAACTTGAAGCATGTCTACTCCAATAATTCCTCACAGCCAGGCCTGGTGGAGCATTCTTGTAATCCACCCAGGAGGATTTTGTTCTAGATCTTAGCTCTATAGTGCGTTCTGGTTCAGCCTATGCAATATGGCAAGACCTTGTCTAAATACAAACATTTTCACACCAGAGACATACAGAGGTCAGATCCCCTGGGACTGGAGCGATACATGGTTATGAGACACCATGTGGGTACTGAGAATGGAACTCAAGTCCTCTACAAGATGCTCTTAACTAACCTGAGTAATCTCTACGGCCCTTTTTAATCTTCTGAAGTTATGATATATTTCTCCACTTTCATTCTTTACATTGTCTTTTTTTTTTTTTTTTCCTGTAGTAAAATGGTTTATCAACTGTGTGCTTTTTTGGTGGGGGGATGGAAGGAGAGTTGACAGAGGGTTTCTCTGTGGCTTTGGAACCTGTTCTGGAACTCTGTAGACCAGGCTGGCCTCAAACTTACAGAGATCCTCCTGCCTCTGCCTCCCGAGTGCTGGGATTAAAGGTGTGAGCCACCAACACTCGGCTTCAAAGTCATTCTTATTTAGTTATAAACAGATAATTAAGAAGCCCCAAGAAAGGTAACTAGACTTGGCATATCCCTAAAATACTGTTTTACTTAACAGTAGGAGATCACATTAATGTTACTTTATAACATGGCCAGTTGAATGGAGAATCACCATTTCACTAACTATAAGAAAATATTCTGATAGAAATATACTCATGAGGGTTAGTTAAGAGCAGCTCTTGAAAAGGACCTAGGTTTAATACCTAGCATCCACATGAAAGCTTGTAACCACCTGTCCTCTAGTTCCAGGGGATCCAGAATTCTTTTCTCCCTTCACAGGCAGTGAGGATACATGTAGTATACAGACATAGTCTCAAGCACACATATTCATGAATAAAATAAATACCTACAATTTTTTAAATGATTAAACAAAAACTGTAACAAGCTATAAATAGAACCCTTTTTAACCTTGCCAAAAAAAAAAAAAAATGCCTATGGATTCCAACAACATTCATCAAACCTACTTATGTTAAAAACAACTTCTTTACAACCAAGAACTAGGAACATGGCTCAGTGGTAGAGTACTTGTCTAGAATCCCCCAGTGAGGAGCAGAGTGGGGCAGGGTGATGGCTCAGTGGAAGAGCTCTTTCATGGGAGGCAGAATATCCTGGATTTGATCCCCAGCACCAATAAAACAAATAGTAAATAATTAAAGTTAAACCTAACCCTGAAGACAAATTCAAAAATTTGAAAATAATAAACCAAAGGATGACAACCTAAATTGTTGCATAGTTGGAGTCCGTAGCCAAAAGAGTGCCTGCAGAGACAGCATGTGAATTCATTTAGTAAGGGTTTGGTGTGGCTCTGTCTGTCTTTTTGTATATTTGTTTTATATATTTGCAATATTTGTTTCAGAACAAAATGATCATATTTCTGATTACATAGCAAAAACTGCATGGCTTTTGTCTGCTTGGTTTGTTTGTGACAGGGTCTCATGTAGCCCAGGTTGGTCTTACTCACCATGTAACCAAGAGCTTGAATTCCTGGTCCCCCTTTCCTCCACTTTCCAAGTGTTAGATGGAACTCTCATATGCTAGGCAAGTGTTCTCCTTACTGAGCTACATCCAGGCTCCATCATCTGTTTTAGTTTGCCAGGGAAAGTCAGGTGCTCAAGTAAAGCTATAGACTTAGACATGCTGTCCAGGAAGGCAAGGTGGTGATTACATTCAGAGTGTCCCCCACTGAAATCCCATGTGGGGTCAGGTAGGGAAGCAGAAGTAATACCTTTTCCTGCCTGCTGCAACAAAAGACAGATGAGTAAGAGAAGGGTACACACTTAGTGAAAGCGTCCCTTCAAAAGCAAAGACCAGAGCTGACACAGGAGGGTGCAGAGTTGAAGGCCAGCCTGTGGAGCAGGGTGAATGGAGGGCCAGCCTCCACCACATAGTAAGTTGTTCCAAAAAAGCTGCATATGTTTATTGTATGCAGTGTTTTACACATATATTTGTGTATTATATGTTATATAGTACATATTATTATAAATATGTTTTTTTTTTTATATTGGATCATATGTGCCTCATACTAACTGGCTACATACCATGCAATCCTAGCACTTGGGAGGTAGAAACAGGAGAATCCAAAGTTCAAGGCCATTCTTGGGTACATAGCAAATTTAGATTAGGCAAATGGGACCCTGTCATAACAACTAATTTTTTAAGCATCAGAGACATTAGATGGCCTGTAGAGAGAGAGCTCCAGGGACCTTGAGGACAGGACAGACTCTAGGCACATGACACAGGAACACCTCCTCTTATGTGGCCCTCTGCCCTGGCCCTGCACCAGGGACCTCTTCCTTATCCAGTCCAGCCACCCTCAAGCCCTGGGCCCTTCTACAGTAGGAATGGTGTATTTTAACGATCTTAGAGCAAAACCCCAGGGGGGGACCAGCACAGGGTCCTCCTGGAGGTTGGCTGGGTGATGGCTCAATTAGAGGCACGCGGGACTGTGCTGAGGCAAGTAGGCCAGCTCTGTAATTGAAAGCACATTTTCCCCTCCGAAGCTGCAGCTGGTTTAGCTCTGCTCATGCAGAAAAGGATATAACCTTGCATAACATAGGAAATGAACGGTTGAGAGAGAAGCCAAATTCAATTTTAGTCAGATATGTTGAGGCCGAGTCCATGATCTATGGGAGCCGGGGCCTGAGCAGCTCACATGTGGAAAGGCGCGCACTCAGCACTCAATTAATCATGGCCGCCCGCCTGGCGCTGCCGCCCCTGTGTACAGGGGGCCACTGCGCCCGCGCTCCTCCTCAGCTCTGGAGAGCAGCCAAGCACTCCAGAAGTTAACCTCTTAAAGACCCGGAGCTGCTTTCTGTTGAATAAATGTAATTTTGTGGTCAGAAATAAATGCTTGTGATGTAGCAGGGAGCTTTGAAAACAACAGCGAGCCAAAGCTATTACAAATTGCTCCGTGTTGGGGAAGTCAACAGCACACATCAAAATTCCGCGTGTAAGGCAAATTGATTTCGGCCCAGAGCTCTGCAGCTATTCAATAAAAGTCCTATTAAACCATTGTGTGTAATGAACAATCCAGAGCAAATCTAATATTTTCAGAGGGTAATTATTTTTAACGTCCTTTCGGTAGCCATCACTAGATTTCTTGGATGTTTACAGTGGGTATCCAAGTGGGGTGTGTTCTACCCAGCTGTCTTTTGGCCTCTGAGCTGGGAAACCCCTGTGCATCCAGCTCCCAGCTGCCTAGCAGGCACCTGGCAGGCTCCTTGTGCCTTGCTTCTCCAGGAGGGTGTTCAGGGGCTCTGGTGTCTCACATAGAAGATGCTTAAGAAGTTTTGTTGAATCAGCCTGCACTGTTAGAAATAGACAAAAGAGAGCTTAGAAAGCATGAGTGAGGGTGCTTTAATATTGGTAGTGTTCACGTAGAGCCTCTGACAACAGAGGCCGGTGCCCTAAGACAAGAAAGTCAGATCCTATGTGATCCAGAGACCCATGTTAGCACCCTGGGGAACCGGGGCAGACCTGGCACGTTGGGACATGTCTGTTTTACTTTGGTTTCTTGATCATGTGGGAATTGGACTCTTTATTACTTGGTGATTCTGACAGCTGAGCAAGGCTTACCCCATCCCCACCACTGTTTGGTTCATGGTAGATTTGTAACTCTGCCTCACCAAGTCACAACTCTCAGACTTCTGTCTAGACTTCAAGTTCTCAAAGACAAGGTCTGCTTATCCTTTCTTTGATTCAGTGATATCGTGTGCCAAGCATACCTGAACTAGACTTTGATATGCAGTGGCAGAAAGATTCATGCAGATACTGTTTTCACAGAGTTTAATGGTGGTGTGATCTGTGTCCCATGTTACACGGTGCTTGGTGCAT